GGGATGTAGACTGAGTTTGTAACAGAAAGGTAACTTTAGCCTTAACTACAGAGCTATTTGTCTGTCTAACCTACTGCACTATGCCCTCTCCCCATATCGCTATGACTGAGACATCTTATATGCATCTTGCTTTACTTGGCATACGAAAGCAAAATATCTCAGTTAGACTGCATCAAATATTGAGAATCTTGTCTTTTAGACGTCAGTAACAGACTCCTTGAAAAGCCTTTGTGACGTGATATATTGAAAAGAATTCACCGCTGGAAGAAATATGGAGATGCTTTATAACGTACAGCAACATGTATTTAAGTACATGGAAGCATTAAGGTATAAAGGATGAGAGTAAATTTGATTCTGGAGGCATCAATATTAAAATGGGAATATTAGAGGCTGCAAGTATCATGTGACCTGTAGACAGGAAGGGAAAATAAGATTAGAATTGATAAAATTCATACTGGGGAGTAATAAATCTAACTAAAGGAAAACAAAAAAACAAAAAGCTGCTCCACATGCTAATGGTGAATTCAGGGCTAGGAAAATAAACCCAACATTTCAATGGCACAAGCACCACAGTTGTTTCAAAGAACTGCATTGGTAATTTGCAAACATGCAATTAGAAAATTCACAAGCTGTGTCTCTATCTCCACAATAAGCTCTTAATGAGATGTGAGTTATGCACCTGCAGTAAGAATGTTCTGTATTTCACTGAAGCCTTTTGAGTTCACGGGCTTGATTCCACTCAGTTACCATTGAAAGTGTCACATGTGGGGCTCATGTCAAACTACGAGATAATGTAAGAGAATCTAAGTTATGTAAATTGCACCTGGTTCTAGCCCCTGAGGCAATTTCCGTCACTGTCAACTCCTTTAATTCTCTTATCTATTTATCAATATCAGCCTTAACCATAATGTTACAGGATCACTAGGACAACATAACTTCATGGAATAATATGTAATGAGACAGTAATTTCTGATGAAGCCTTATGAGCTATTAAAAAGCATCCTGTAAGTATACATTATTATTAACTGGGAATATTCTCTGTTGCTGGACAATACACCATATATTATTATTTGTATTAGAAGTAGTATTTGGGGGCCACATTGTGCTAGATGCTGTACAATTATCTGGAGAATACATTCTCTGCCCTGAAGAGCCTAGAATCCTAACAGACAAGAAAGTTAAAGGAAACAAAGGAGAAGTAACTTGCCCAAAGACATGCATCAAGTGAGTGACAAAGCTGGAAATTACAGCAGTGTGAATAACTGATTTTTTCAGTTATCTGGAAATTACAGAAAAATAGGAAGTAGGGGTAATTGTTGAGTTGACTCTGCTATAATTTTTTTTTCAAAATTTTTGTTATTGGTGTGGGAAAATAAAAGCCAAACAGTTCATTTTAATTTTGAGTTTTTAATTTTTTTTAAACAAAAATTTGTAAACAAAGTCAATTTGAATTTAAAAAAAGCCATCTATTTTGATTTTGTGGAGGAAATGGGGGGGGGGGGGGGTTTTAAAAAATGTGTGCATGCTAAATAAATCTCTATATTTTGCCCCAAAAAAAAGTTTAATTGAAAAATGTTGCCCCTTCTAAAACCATGTCTAGTGCCCTAGATACAACATGACACAGCCTTCCTCTTTTAAATCAATTTTTTTCCAGGCCTACCAAAGTGGAGTAGAATGTATACTTTGAATAAGACCATCAGACCATCCTGGATACTGTGATGACCTCCATGGAAAGCAGACCTTTTGCTGGTTCTCTGCACCAGAGTAAAATTTTCCCCTCGGAGGTTTTTTTTTTTTTTTTTTTTTTTTTTTTTTTAAATGAAGGTGTTGTGTTGACAGTATTTCCAGATCGAGGTTCCTTTACAATCCAAATGGCCAAACTGTTGCTCAGGAAACTCAGTCTGAGGTTTTTAAAGGTGCTTAAGTTGGTTTGGCCCATATCTCAACAGAGGCTTATGACCAGATCTGGGAGCCAGGTCCATTCTTTTGAGGATCTGGGCCTGAGCATCTTTTTTCCTTAGGGTTTTAAAGGGCTTAAAGGCCAGATTTTCAAAGGTATTCTGGTGCTTAAAGATGCAGCTAGGTGTCTAATGTTATCTCCAAAACCTACTTAAGTAGGTTATGTGCGTAACTTCCCACTGATGTATAACTGCTAACTTCCATAGCCTAGTGTTCCTGTGAAAATCCTTCGGTGTGCTAAAAATCTTATTTTTAAGGGGCAAAATAGCCTTGAAACCCTGGTCCTAGGTCACTGTCAAAAATGAGACTTAGGTGCTTTTGAAAACTCTACCCGATATCCTTTGTAAATTCTAGCCTTGTTGAACTATCAGCTCTTCAAGTTATTATATTAAAATGCATTGATGTTGAAAATATCCATAGAATTCATAAATGCCAATGCCAGAACCAGCCACTAATCTAGTGCCTTGCTGATGTTATAATTGCGAACTGAAAAGGAGCCAGGAGATTATTTATTGCTGCATCTCACTAGATTATGCACATATGAATATGCATCATTTGACTATTCAAATGAACATGAAGTGACAATATTAATAACAGCATTGTTAACAAGACTTTGGAAATTACACTCCATTAAAAATTAAACTTTCCATGTATATAGAGTACTATTTTTTCCCCTCTCCTAGTAAACGTACTGGCTCTTTATTTCATTATGGATCCCTTCCAAGATATAATGAAATACTCAGTGATTATTATGCCTGCTGAAGTTTTAACTTCACGTAGTGATTTCCTTTCAATAAAATGTCTCATCGCCTTAAAGTGGCTGTTTTATTTGAATACTCCTCCATTCTCAGCTTCATACTGATAGCATGTGGGCTGCTCATAGGTTTAGCTGATGTGTCCACCCCACAACCACTCAAGCACTGTTTGAACAGCTACTAAGTCAAATCCTTGGTGAGCGTAGGTGGAATCACTGGATCCGAGATACTTAACGCTGTTCGGTTCTTTTTTGTCCCCCATCAACAGAATAGTTGAGAGCCTCACAATCTTCAATGTATTTATCCTCACAGCACCCCTCTGAGGTAGGGCAATGCTATTTTACTAATCTGTAAAATGGGGATTTGGGCCACTAAACCCTGGTCTACATTAGGACTTTATTTGGAAATAACCCCCTTTAGGTCAAAAAGATAAGTGGAGTGTCCACACTACCACACCTGTTATTTTGAAATAACAGGCCACTTAATTAAAAATCTGTACTTCTGCTTTTCATTGGGAGTATTGCTAATTCCAAAATAGTTATTTTGAAATAACAGTAGTGTGGACACTCCAGTGCTGCTATTTCAAAATAAGTACTCCCCAGAGTAATTCAAACTACTCCCCAGTGCTTCCTGGGGCTTTAAATCTGAGGTAGGGCGTCCACATCAACGGATCCTGCCTCAGACTAATTTCAAGGCTTCCCCATAATGTGGACACACTAGTTCGATTTTGTTAAATGAGGAGTTAAGTCGAATTTACTAATTTTGAAATAGTTTCCTAGTACAGTCATGGCCTAAGTGACTCACTGGAAGGTCACACAAGGGAGTGGATGGTAGAACAATGAAATAAACCTGTATTTCCCAAGTACCAAGCTAATTCCCAATACACCAGGCCATTCTTTCTCAGTTTTCCAGTCACTCTTGCCCTCTCTTCACCTATGAATCAGCAACAACTCAATTGAAGCTGAAAGAGCTAGAAGAGCATGCAGGTGTTGTGAGTGACAGGAGAATCTGAGCTAACCTCCTGAGAGTTTCTTCCACCATCCAGACTTAAAGTTGTGGAGCTTCTGGGAATTTATCAAAGCCAGCAAGCCAGATTTATTTCAGAAGATACCTTGAAACTCATGAAAACTACATGGGGTGTAAAAATGTGCAGCATGAAAGTACAAAGGGAATCTGGATGAAGTGAACATAATGTGAACTTGTTTCCTGAAGGTCTCTTCCCTTCCCTGGAAATCTTGTCACATGATACAAAAAATTTGTCAAGCCCATGCACTGTATGTGCCCTGGAATTGTTAAATTATCACTCATCTATTGGGCCAGCAAAAGAAGAAGGTGAACTGTCTTTATAATCATAAAAGAGATCCTTTGAACTGATTAAACACTAACCTTGAATAGAGCATAGGTAGAAAAGCCAGCCATCTCCTAGGTGTCTCAGCTGGTTCTTACCAACAATCATCCTTTGGACAGAAGTAAATTCAAGAACGTGGGAGCCAATGTTAGGGAAGAATTAATTATTAGCTGAAAAAAATCTTTTGATTCCTAAGAGTCAACATGTCTTAGCGTATTTTCAGACCAATCACTAGTTGGAGTCAATCACAAGGTGTGTAAGATATAGCTTGGTTGTGTGTTCTTTGCTAGACCAGGAGTTTCTGTTAGGCTACAGCTACACAGTGGCTGTGTCTACACTGGGCCACTTATTCCGGAAAAGCAGCCGCTTTTCCGGAATAAGCTGCAAGCTGTCTACACTGGCCGCTTGCTTTTCCGGAAAAGCAATGACGATCTACTGTAAAATTGTCAGTGTTTTTCCAGAAAAACTATGCTGCTCCTGTTCGGGCAAAAGTCCTTTTCCGGAAAAACTGTTCCAGAAAAGGGCCAGTGTAGACAGCACAGTAGTCTTTTCTGCAATGACGATCGGGGCTTTTTTCTGGAAAAGCGTGTCTACATTGGCCACGGACGCTTTTCCGGAAAAAGTGCTTTTCCGGAAAAGCATCCTGCCAATGTAGACGCGCTTTTCTGGAAATACTTTTAACGGAAAAACTGTTCCGTTTTAAGCATTTCCGGAAAAGGGTGCCAGTGTAGACGTAGCCTATGAGTTTTGCCAAAAGAGGCAATGCAAATGAAGCACGGATTAGCATTTTCTTGCACTTCATTTGCATAATCTCTTTCGGTCCATGTCTGCGCAAGGGGTTTTTGCACAAAAACAAGCAGTATGGGCGTTTCCTTTTTGCGCAATATCCATATGCCTCCTGGGGAGAGGCTACATTACATTAGGTGTACTGTTACATGCTGCTTTTCACCATGTAATGACCAGGCAATGGCCACTCAAATCCTTCTGTTTATTGTAATTCCCTGATAGTAGAGCTTTTGAGCAGGGCTCCCCTGTCTCAGCGGGTTTGGTACAAAGCAGTATGTTCGATCACGTTACTCCCACCCCACATCCGCTTAAGGCTCATTGCCTTTAATGCGGCTGACTGGACACATCTGAGCGTGTTGCTTGGTAAAGGCTATATTGCAGTTAACTCCTACTGAAAGCCATGGGAGTCTTTCCATTTACTCACAAGGGTTCTTAAGGCCGGCTTTTCAACAATATTTAGGCACCAGAAAATGCAGATGGGCATCATGTGGGATTTTCAAAAGTGCGTCAGCAGATTAGGGCACTGAGGGGCCATGTAGGCGAGTGAGTGGGCTACATGAGTGGCCCTTCTTCATCTCAGTGGGCTGCTAGATTGTCATAACCAAGATGGTCTCCTGGGGTAGGGTAGCTTTGCTAACTGCACTTCCGCACCCTTTGATTGGCTGCAGAGGGAGCACGTGGCTCTCACAAGGTTGTGTACAATCAGCACTCACCTCACTTCACATGCCCTTGCTTTAAGTGAGTGTCACTTTTGTATACCGGAGGAAAAAACGGCCACAGATGGAAATAAGTGGAATCTGGCAATCCTGTGTGAGGGCAACGGTAAACAAAATGTGTCATGGGCCACACATAGAACTCCAATGGCCCACATGCGGCCCTTGTGGCCACAGGTTACCCACCACTGGGTGAGAGATTAATTCCCTTTGAAACCAAGGGGCCTTATTCAAAGTGTACTGGAAATCAAAACAGGCCCAGGAAATAGGTTGAGAATGGCCCTCCCCATGACGTCACCTCTGCGTGCCCCTCAAGCCCCGCCCCCTGCATCATGCCCAGCACGTGGCGCAGGTGGCGGCTTGGGCTCTGTGTGCCGCATACAGCGTGGACGCAGAGCCAGCGGTCCACTGGACGACGGCCCACCGGGAAATTCCCAGTATCCCTCCGGGCCAGTCCACCTCTAGCCTTAGCTAAGACATTTTTGACAATGCTACTTAGGCAGGTGGTTATCTTCACTGTGGTGGACCGTAATCTGTGCAATTTATTCTCTCAAATAATCCACCCTTGTCCCAGCCTCCGTGCTTTTATACAGTGCCTCACTTATTCCCCCCAAGAGGACTTTTCAGTAGGACTGTGCAAATTACTGAGCAGTGAGATGATTGGTGTTTTTATTTCAGTTTGGTAAGTGAAACAAAAAGAAATTACAGAACAAAACAAAACAAAAAAGCTTGTTTAAATCAAACTCATTGTTTAGTTCCTCCCAGTTTTCATTTTGTGGTGCAGTCAGTTTTTCATTTGTTTGTTTGTTTGATTTTTTTTGACCTTTTTCTTAAAAAAAATAACTGTGGACAGATTTGAAACAAAAAAGTCATGGCAGCCTCTGTCCGCAGAAGCCCAAGCTCGCCCCTGATCCCGGGGTGATCCTGTGTCCCAGGCAGCAGTGCAGGGTGGTGGAGGGCTCCCTGGGAGCTGCTAGCCCCACCCCCGGTGACTGTCGAATAGTCACGTAACCGCTAAGATTTCATGAAGTTACACAACTACTCAATTACATGATAGCTAACATCCCTTGACCCAAAGTAGGGAAGAAAGGGCTCAGAGTACAGCAAGACAAGACTCCATTACCCCTCCCCATGTCACACAACTCTGTAAAACAAGTCCCATGGGGAGAGCATGCTGCACCCCTTAAAGAAGAGTAGCAGTTTGAACTTCTCTCCAGAATGCACCGGAGATGCAGAATGGTATCTAGTAACTTCGGTGCAGTGGTGTAGCTCTGCACTGACTCAAACACCAGGCTGGGTCTTACAGGTACAATCATGCCCCAGGAGAGTAGCCAGTGATTCTGCTGGGTTAATTCATGCTTTGATCATGCCTGTTTCCCCCACTGAATTCAGTGGGGCAGCACGTATATAGATAATGAGGCAGCACATATAGGGTGTGTCTACACTGCACTCATAGCTCAAAATAAGTCTACACAGCACTCATTTTGAAATAAACTGCTATTCCGAAACATCCCTTACGCCTCATGGAATGAGGTTTACAGGGATGTCGGAATAGCAAACCCGTTATATTTCAAAATAATGGGTGCACTCAAAAGACACCGAATAGCTATTTTGAGATACTGGAGGTATCCCAAAAAAGCAATGGAGTGTAGACATAGCCTTCAGGAGTTTCTCAGCTGGAGTAGGTGGCAGAATCTGGATCACCGTGAGGTGAATTTTGTTTCTATCAATTTGGATGACATTCCATTTACAGTATTATTAATTTGTGAGGTGGAAACACACCAGTCTTATGCCCTGCACTTTGGCTTCTAATTCATAGCATTGTTGCATGGATGTACATTCCCCTTTCAAAGTCTCAGAGGGGTAGCAGTGTTAGTCTGTAACTTAAAAAAATCTTACAAAATGAGTGGTCCTGTAGCATCTTAGAGACTAACTAACTATATATATACAGAGAGAGAGAGAGAGAGAGAGAGAATCATGAGCTTTTGTGGGCACAACACACTTTTTCAGATGAGTGGAGCAAAAGGCACAGAAACCTCAAAATGTAATTCCCCTTTCAGTTTGCTTTCCTATTATTATATTGCAGCAAACTCTTCTAATGCCCAGGAAATGTCCCATCCATTCCAGGATTTTCTGTTCTTTCGTGAGAGGGAAACCAATTTAATAATTTTCATCTCGCTTGCTTGAAGGAAGAATAAAGTAAATCTGGGCTATACAGTCCAACCCACTGTGAAACCATTCCTAGAAGGATGCATTGGTTGCTAATTGTTTATACAAACATAGGAGAATACACAGCTTTACATACGTGAAGGAACATTCAATCATAGAGTAGCAATATGGTAAGTGAATTGTTTGTAACCATATTCTCATTTATGGCCAGATACTGACTTACATCCTTAACCGCATATTAAGCATTATTTTTCTCTATATGAAGTTCCATTAAATTCAGTGAGCCTAATTTTGGAATAAAGGACCACTCAAACGAGCGTGGCTTGCAGAATCGTAAATATTTTGGATGGTTACAGATACTTAGTTTGTATAAATTGGTTTGCAAATGCTCAAGAGCAAAATAGATGTACATTCCTGTAAGCTGTCAGAATACTTCTCAGGTGCTCATGCAAGGTATCGATCTTTGCTTAAAACAAGGTCATACATGACAGAAACTAGAAGTTGGGAAAAGCTCTTACCTTTGTTTTCACCTGTCTGTGGCATCACCTTAGACCCCATGGCTTGCATGGGTTCTTGATCATTAATGAACCTGTGAAACCATCTTCTTCTTAACTGTCTCAGTTCTGAGTTCCGAGATATTAGCCACCGTGGCCCATATCTCTGATCTGATGTTGGGTGACGGAGCTCATCCATGTCCATCAAAAGCTTAGCACGCAAACGAGGGTTTTGCATCGTCCGGGCATCTAGGATCCCAACTCCTACCACCATGTCTGAAATTGGTGAGGCCTGAATATTTGAGGTCCCACGTGTGCCTTGTTGGATAGCCAATCGGGATCGCTGTAATAAGAGAAGGCTGCCAGCCATTAGGTAAGCTGCTGTGAGAAAGAAGAGCAGAAACTGGGTCCGCCGAAGAAATTTCTGTAGTCTGAAAAAGGGTTTGGCCATGCCCTTCCGGAAGCTGGGCAATTCACGCCTTCAAAACGGTCCCTGAATCACCGTTTGAAATTGTATTAGTTTCTCCCATAAGTTCATCCCATCACTTTAATGTGTCCTCCCCGACAAAAATGGTCATTTTCCATCACAGCAGCAACTACAATCACATCATGCTTTATATCCATGGAATTGTGGGGCTTCTGGGCAGCTGATCTGGTTCAGGTGACCTTATGAACAGTTCCATGACTGTGGCCAGCTGCTCTTCATAAAATCAGATTCCAAAAGGAAAAGAAACCTGGAATATGAAAAAAAAAGAGTTGGTTTTGATCCTATTATCAAACACTTATGATGCTAAGTTCTTTTATTTTAGCTAAACATGTAAAGACAATAATCCCGGTAGAATGATTGATTTAAAAAGGACCCAGTGACAGATTTCCAATTCTACCTTTTTCTTTATGGTAACTTGAAATGTACAAGAAACACTTTCATGATTAGAATATTCTCCTCGGGATGTTTGGAATGGTAAATCCTTTTATTTCCTTTTGCAAATAGCTGACATCCCTGGTCTTTGTAACTGACTAGAACCGGTAGTCACAATACAGACATCTTTATAGGAAAGTATTATTGGATACTTTCTTTTCCATGTTACAGTAGCTAAGCTACAAATCTAGATCAGAAGAGAACAGCAGTGTGGGTGTATGGCGAAGAAAAATGAAATGGCATCAGCTCTCAAAGGAAAAGAGAATAGTTATTAATCTCCACGAATCACAGTAAAATGAGGCTTTATGCTGGAAAGATAGTTCCAATATAGATATAAAGCATATAGACTATGTGTGTGTATTTTTGTGCCTTGAGATACTCGCCAAACTTAAAAGTAAGCTAAAGATTCCACTAATTTGATTCTAGTGTATGTTTCTGTGTAACTTGTGTGACTGGCTGTGAACGGGCATGTGTAGATAATCTATAGATTTAAATTAATGGAATTTTATATTTTCTTTTAAAGTTTTCCATATATCTCTAGACTATATTGGGGCTTTACCAGGCTGTAAGTTATTTTGATCGACACCGTGACAGGATTATCCAAGCAAGAAAAAGCTCTTTTGTACTCTACGTAACCTTTAACCTCCTGGAACAAATAAAAATTGGCATCTTGCCATATGTTCCCTGAGTTCCTGGTCAATGACTCCTCTGTGGAACCATGAAAGCAGTGGGAAAAGATGCAGTTTGTTCCAGAAAAGAAAATGTTATGGCTCTTGTTTAACTTGCATTCAGAGCACCCTCGAAACCTGCATTAGGGCAAGGAAACTTGCTATCCACTCACCTGCCATTCTTTTCATATCATTCTTTACAGTTCTTGATTAAATCTTTGAGGATACTTCTATATGCTTCTTGCTAAAATGTATATGATTATGTAAAATTCTGCCTTCATTCTGTTTAACGGTTCCCTTTTCCTTAGTTGTGTAATCACCTTGCTTCATAATCAGCAATCAATAAAAGCAAAACCTTTCTCATTCAAAAATATATTGCAGCTCCTTTGACCAGCTATTCTCTTTGCCCAATCCCCTTGTAGTCCATTTTTCCTAGCAGATTGGTCTTAGGAGAAAAGGTCAAGACATTCCAATTTAGCAGATCAGTCTGACGTGGTTTTTGATGACCTGACGCAGAGAGCTCTTAATTTAAAACCAAAGTATCCAATTTTAAATCCCCTAGGGCTGAGTAGCATCTGAAACATGTGGTAAGATTTTGCTGTGTTCCCCTCCACTGCTCCATTTTTTCCAAATATTAAACTTCACAAGCAATTCTCATCTTCTCACCTATAATAACTGGAATTTTGCAGCTCACATCCATAATTCAGCTGACAAACTTCTGATGGATTCAGTGTGCTCCAAAAGACATATTGTATGAAATCATTTAAGGCCTGATCTGCCACTGGTGCAAATCAGCATGGCACCATACAATGCTGAATGAGACCAGCTGAAGATCCGATCCTTAGTATTTGTTATTTAACATCTTTGATCAACAACACTGAGTGCTCAGGCTCAGAAAGGATAATAATGGGGTTATAAAATACTGAGATAAACAAATAGAAGATTATTTATAATTATTACATATTGCAGATTACTAGTTATAATTTTGCTGAAGGAACACTGTAAAAATCACATAAGAACCATTTGATTCACTATTTGTGCATAACATTCACCTGTTTCCAACATCTCTGTTGTTCCCTAAATAGACTAACTCTAAAAGGAAGCTGGTCACACATGTTAAATATTCAAGTTTCTGAGGGGAAATTATGACTGTATACTAGACCAGGAAAGTCGGTCGGTTTAAGGTGCAAAATGCATAGCTGGAGTCAGCTTACCTTAAACCAAGCCATAGCGGTGTTCACAGAGGGTGTGTCTAAACTACGCCCCTCTGTCGGCAGAGGGATGTAAATTAGACACAACAAAAGAGCAAATGAAGCGGGGATTTAAATATTCCTCACTTCCTTTGCATAATAGCACCCTGGCTCTGTTTTGAACACGCGCCATTTTGAAACTGAAACCACGGGGGTTTTTTTACACGGTTTTTCCGGGAAGTACAGGATCTTTCAAAAAATCGCCCTGTTGTTGGAAATCCCCACTTCATTTGCACATTCGATGTGTCTAATTTACATCCCTCTGCCAACAGAGGGATGTAGTCTAGACGTAGCCAGAGCGAGAGGCTGATAGGAGCAAACACTCCCATCGGCTTCCCTTACTCCTCACAAAAGGAGGAGTACTGCAAACCAGTTGGGGCTGCCCTTCGTGTTCAATTTACAGGTCTATACTAGACAGCTGTGTCTAAACTGCACCCCTTTTCCGGAAAAGGGATGCAGATGAGACAAGTCGGAATTGCAAATGCAGCGGGGATTTAAATTTTCCCCGCTCTATTTGCATGAACATGGCTGCCGCTTTTTTCCGGCTCGGGGCTTTGCCGGAAAAAAGCGCCAGTC